TAGTTGGTTTTGGGATAGATTAGAGGATTTAGTTCTTTTTTTTTTCAAAAGGAACCTGGGCTGGAAAATTCTTTTTGTTTCATTCACATATAAAATCTGTTGTGCTAAATGCTGATCTTCAGAAGATTTAGTTTCACCAGAAACCATAGTTAGGTTTTTCTGGTTCACAAGCTCCTTTATTTGAAGTTGCTTGAAGACACAGATTCTTCCTGCTTAAAATTTAGTTTGACTTTTGATGGGTCATGACTAGTGACATGCCACCCAAGTCATCATCAAAATTAAAGCTAATCAATAACTACTATATATATATATATATGTATGTATACATCATGAAATCATGAGCCACTAACACTTCATTAAATCCAGGGGGAACTAACCGTTCCTTCATTAATCACTTTTAGTAAAGTAGAAAGCAAAAAAAAGTAGTCACTGATTGTCATCTACTGTACAAAAGATCATTGTTCTTTTCTTTCTTTCTTTTTTTTTTAAAATTTAAAAATCTACTGTACAAAAAATTTTAAAAAAATCTTTCCACTTGTCTCCCATTATGGAAGGACTATTTTCTGTTCTTAAAATATATGTTATCTTAAGAACAAAATGAGCTAAAAGTGGCAGGAAAGAATGGAGGAAAGATTTATTCTAAAACAATCAGATACAGGGAACAAGAAGAAGAAACATTACATGGTATATTGACAGGAAAGAATTAGTAGTGGTCCATAAATTTTAGCTTGAAAAGGACAAATCAAAGAAACTGCCATGGCAGACATGCATTGATCACAATAATACAGTAATGCCTTTATTCTTTCATACCCAATTATTCTTCATTCCTTCATTAAATTCCACTGTCCTTTTCACAAATTTATCAGAAAAAAAAAAAGGAAACATCCCACTGTCCTTCATAAATCATTCAACATGCTCAAAAACTAAAATACAAAATGCCTTATCCACTACATCTATCTCCCTTAATAAGCAACTTGATATTCCAAGACAGTAGATACCAAACTAGAAGAAGTTAAAAAAAGCAAATATTGATTGATTTCTTTCTTTCTTTCTTTGCATATGTTACAGCAGCATAAGAATGTTCTTCAAGAGTAATACAGCTATAAGCAATCTGAATAGAACCCAGAAAATGCACTAGTGAAGAGTCTAGGAAACCAAATTCAACATGTTCAAAAACTAAAACACAAAATCCCTTATCCACTACGTCTATATCCCTTAACAATCAATCAACTTTGACATTCCGCGCCGGTAGATACCAAACAAGAAAAAGTTTAAAAAGTACATAATGATTTCTTTCTTTGCATATGTTACTGCAGCATAAAAATGTTTTTAAAGAGTAATGCAGGTCTAAATCATTTAAATAGAACTTCTTAGTACTTTTGTGAATAATAATACTTCTATCTTTCGTGTTAACACATCCTGTTAAGGCCACCCACTTTCTAGTGGATCTATAATCCAATTTTTTTTTTATTTCAAAGAAAAAAAAATGAGTTAAAGCAAAGATAAAGGCCATTGAAGCAGATCAATTATTTAACTATAAATTACAATGCAGGCAGTATGTGGTTTTCCCGAGGACCAAACTTGTTATACAGGTATGAGGGAATGATGAATGAAAAATTATTTGCAAGAGTTTGAATTCATGGTTATTGCTACTGCATGCAACCTAAAAAGGATTAGTCAAACCAAACAACATTATGACATTAAAATGAAGATGTAAAAAAGCTTAAAATGAAGAATACTTGCATTTGTTTTGCTGGGTTTGGCAGACAAATTAGGAAATATTCATGCAGGTTGCAGGGGTTAGGAAGATGATCTTCCCAAAAAGGGAAATGCACGAAGTAAACAACATCTACCAAGATTTAACTTTTTGTTTTTTACTAAAAATGGAAGATACCATGATAAAAAACCAACAGAAGTAAGTTATAAAGAGGCAATACCATCACTGAAAACATTGTTTCATTAACCATTTATGTCCCAAGATCAGTTTATTGCGTACTAAAACAAGATATCTTAGATAAAATGATTGAACATTTGAAAGTCATCAGCTCAATGTCCAATACTAGCTCTACAGAGAATGATTTTCCACTAATGTGTAAGACTAGCTCTGTAAAAAGATGGTTTGCCGCTAAACCCTAATGACTTATAATTAGATAGAATCAAGAAGTGTCATCTTCAGATGGTTTGAAGAGCCAAAAGCAGTGATTGCAACAGACCTTCAGCAAGTAGTAGCAGCAGCATCTAAAGACTCCAGCACGGATGACGGGAGGAACTGTTTAGGATCCGCTGAAGAAGAGCAGGACAGTGAGTTTGAATCCTCCGCCTGATTGAGAGACGCAGTCGTCAGAATCAAAGTCGTCATCACTCTCAGATGATGAATATGAAGTCGAGATTCCTTGTATTGTCCCCAATCAGACGCATAAGATCTTTAGGCCTGTGATCAGGATAGACATCCCAGAGATTCTTCTCGGTAAGCATCTGCATCTCCAGCTCAAAGCAGCCACGCGCCCAAAATGTCAGAGGGAGGATGTTGCTTACGCTCAATGACAGATTCAGGAATCAAATGCATGGCGGTGCAGAGGAAAAAACAGAGGAGCGCATACGCATTATGTTGTCAGGTCTCAAATCCCAGTGGATGTAACCACGTTGATTAACCGGAAAGATTACTGTAGCGCTTGACGAGGAATTTGGGCAATCCAAGTGAGGGACAGAGAGGGTAGAAAATGTTGATGGCGCGCGCTAGATTTCCGCCAGAGGCATAGTCGAGAAGAAGATTGTAGGCGGTGGAGCCATCGGAGGCAAGATTAGTAGTCTTTCCGCCGTAACATCGCAGTTAACGAGAACCTCCTCCTTCTGAAACGAAGCGGACACGAAGAAGTCGGCCATTATAGGAGGGAAGAGAGAAAGAGAAGAAGGGGGATTGGCTGCTCTGGAAGTAGCCAGGATACAGGCAGCGAAATGCAGCTTTCTTCATGAATATTTGCCGTTGATATCTCCCATGAGCCATTTTCATCCGTGGCTCTGCTTCTCTTTTTCTTGCTTTCTTACATCGATTGAAACAGAATTTCTGAATTGGAAAACAGAACTTCATGTTCCTTTCTGAATTAATCAATATCTACATTACATATCGACCAATTAGCACGTCTGCAACTGAATAGAGAATGCTCAACCTGCACTAAAATAGTAGTATTTAAGTTCGACTAAATACTCACGTACTTGATATAAATTTATAAGTGCTGGCCTAAAGTTTCGGAAAACTCATAAAGGAGATTGAATTGAATTTTTAAATTTTTAAACAAATCTTTCAAACTTTTCTCTTAAGTAGTATTTCGTCTAAGATAATTGTTTGAATATTTTTGGTATTTACTATATATATATATAATTATTTAAATAATAGTGAAATTTATTTTTATTAATTAAATTCTGATATCTGATGACAATGATAAAAATGATTGAGGATGATCGAATGTAAATATTATTATTTTTTCATGTGTTTATGTATGATGTAAGTAGAGGCGTGATATCAATTAATGATGAACAACAATTAATAGGATGCAAACTCTTTTATAGAGTTTCAACTACACCACCTTTGCCCACATTATCTTTTTCAAGATAATAACCTAAAATTACAGTATTTTATTCAAAATATTACAAGAACTTTCATGATATCTACATAACTAATCTCTCGTGTTCTTCTAAATATTATAGTTTGTCTGTCAATGTGTCAAACTCACATATCACTCGAATTTCTTCAAACACTACAATTTATTTATTAAGGTATTAAACTCACATATTCAAATTTTTAATAGTTCAGAACTCATAATAAACTCTATTAGGACTAATGAAGAGGAGTAAATTGGAGATTATGAAAGATATGCGAGAAGATTAGGGTTTTGTCTAAGTTTTTCAATTTTTACTTAGTGGATTAGGTCCCACATTATTTTTTTCAAGATAATAACCTAAAATTACAGTATTTTATTCAAAATATTTCAAGAACTTTCACGATATCTACATCACCAACCTCTCGTGTTTTTCTAAATATTATAATTTGTCTGTTAATGTGTCAAACTTACATATCACTCAAATTTCTTCAAACACTACAATTTATTTATTAAGATATTAAACTCACATATTCAAATTTTTAGCAGCTGGGAGCTCATAGTAACCTCTATTAAGACTAACGAAGAGGAGTAAATTGGAGATTAGGAAAGATGTGCGAGGGGATTAAAGTTTTGTCTAAACTTTTTAATTTTTACTTAGTGGATTGGGTCCCAAGATCTCAAAATATGGCTGCCTCTTCAGTAGCAAAATGAGCCTCAAGATATAACTTCATGGTTCCAATCCTAAAAAATATATTAAATCTTTTTAATATTTTTTTAAAAAAAAAATACCAGGACAAAGTTGCCCTAGCCTCCTCTATCCCAAAAAGGCAAATACAATAAGAATTATATGTCTATTATTCATCATTTCAATAGCCATCAATGATAAGGTTTGCAATCTTTTATACAATAGAGTTTAACTGACTAGTCTTAAATGTTCAAACACATCTACAGCTGGGCTAAATATTCCAAATATCCTTCCAAATTTATGCCAAGCGAGATCAAGATACTAAGATTGAACAGTTAAAATACCCCCAACGTTCTTCCAAATAACAACAAATTCTCTGATTATTATTAAGATTGAACTTGAAAAGAGAAGCATGTCTAAGATTAGGATTAAACCTGGTTGATGCTCATGAAACAGAAGAAAAGACAATGCTTTAGGACCTGTTTTGGACATATGCATTTTCATAATACTCTTTTTCTTTTTCCTTTTGCTTTGGGGATTAACCCTTTTCAGACTTAAGGGTCAAATCTCTACTTTCCATTTGCTTCCCATCAACAAAAATGGGGGGAAAAAGTTTTGAGCTTTGAGGTCAATATGCCTTAGAACATTCACCTCATCAGGTTGCAACCATTTCGAGTATGAATTCGATAACAAATCTCCATAAATTACCATCAAAATTCCTTTCATATGAATCAACACTTTTCATTGTCAAGAAACAAAGATTGCGCATGCTTGAAGAAGAAGAATGAAGTCAGATCAAGAACTCCATTCAGTACAACAAATCTCTATAAATTCCTCCGCAACCTATTTTTCATAAAAATCAAACACTTCTCATTGTCAAGAAAATGGTACATCCTTGAAAAAGCAGAATGAAGTTGGATTAGAAACTTCACTAATACAATATTAAGCCGAATCATGCTAATGAACAAACGAAATGAAGATAGCTAGCACACTTGGTGAAATGAACCCAAAACACTTCAATTGATTTCAGGCAAAAGACCATTTAAGACCAGGATCACTAGAACCACCCATGTCCATACCAAGTTAAAGCAAATGCCACAACTATAGCGCTGAGACCAACCTGTCCCTTGTGCAAAACCATTGATACAGCGGTATTCATAGAGGAAGAGTTTGCAGAGACAGAAGCAGAAGGTGGCGGAGGCAGAGGGTGGACAAGAACAGAGACTTTCATACCATTAAAGCACTGTCCATTGCCACAAATGAAATAATAACGTTTGGCTTTGTTGAGAGGAATGAAATCCTTCCCGCTGCTCCAGTTTCCTACTGCTCCTTCTGTGGTACAATTGTCATATCCTGTTTGGTTCACCTCAAACACATTGTATTGATTCTTCTGGTATCTAAACGCTACAACCAAAAATTTTTAAACGAACAGCTTAGCTATACATATACATAGGCAGATCAGGAGCTATATGTGTGTAATAGAAACGTCCGTAAGTAAAAGATCTAGGTATGCAGCAAGAAATCTACATTCTAATGCGAGAAAATTAGGATTTCGTCAACATCCTCGTGTTAAAATCCATTCGCAGGGTTTTTAGTCTATAAAATATCCTTGAAAAATCAAAATAACACCAAGGTGGCGGCAGAAATAGAAGTAAACATTTACTAATTTTGCTGATTGTGACGAAGTGGTCAACATGTTGTTTGTACAGAGTGAAAGTGGATATAGGTTCTGGATCTTGAAAAGAAGAGAGAACGAGAACATAATTTCACCAGTACTCATCAGATTCAGTTGTTACCAGAATAGGATACACTTATGAGCTTATTCCTGAACTGATATGTCTACACATATAGATATGTGTGTGTGTGTAAGTGCGTATTGGTTAGAGAGAGAGAGAGAAAGAGAGAGAGAGTACAGATAAGGTCGCCGACGAAGAAAGTATGGTTGTTAGCCCAGAGAGTGTAGTTGATCCCCGGATTCCAGCCCTTGTTGGCACCGACAATGTGATCAGTTGCTGCGGCGGGAGAGATGGCGTCAAAGGCTAACAGGAGGAGGAGGAGGAGGAGAGAGAAGCGAGTGAGATTTAATGGTGAAGATAAGGTTGACATGGCTGATGCCAGCTGCTTTTAGCTTCGCCTGTGTTGGGCTTGGGGCCGAGATTTGAATCAGAAAGACGATGACAGATGGAGAGCAACACATCTTCTATAGATGATAAATTAATGATGGTATGTATGATTTTTTTATTAATTAAAAATTTTAAAATAATTAATTCAATTAATTATTTAAAAAATATCAAATTAATAATCTAATCTTAAATATTAGAATATAGTTTTTTGTATTAATTTAAGTTTTAAAAATAATATATTTAATAAAGTATGTAAATTGTAAAATAATTTTGAAATATAATTTATAAGTATCAATTATATTTTATAGAGTTATAAAATTATTTGTATTACCAATTATGAATAATTATATTTTTTATATTTGTTTACGAGAGTGTGTGTGTGAATAAAAAAGATTAAATATATAAATTTTTATTAAATAAATAATAATTTTTTTTTGAATTAAATTATTTGACATATTTAGTAATAAATTCATAAATGTTAATTACAAGTTCTTTATATTATAATATAAAATAGGGTAAAGTGGGTGAGGGTAGGCCATGGGACTGAGATTGCAACATAATTTAAGAGTGGTCCCATTACATTACGTTACATTACATTATTTTTAAAGGCCACAAGACAATTTTTTAAACGTTTCATCTTCATAAAGTACCAACTCTAATGAGATTTGAATTTAAAATGCTAAAAATCTTCCCTCCTTTTTATTTTTGACTAAATTTTTAAATTTGAAATAAACTCAAGATTTGTATTTATGAATAAAAGAAAATCAAAGTCGTTTATGATTTGTAGCGAATCCGTAAAAAGGGTGGTGTTTGTTATTGTTGAAATAAAAATATATTTCAAATCCGTAAATCTATAAAAAAAAAAAAACTAAACAAATAATTTCCTACTGAATTAATGAGAAATATAAACGAAAAATGTACTTGAATCCATCGTGAAAGAATTGTTCGCGTTCAGTAGTAAAATCTTTCGAATCAACATGATATCTAAAAACTAATTTTTTCTGGTGACGGAATTTCAGAAAAATAAAATGACAACTGTAACGGCCCCGAAATTTAAAGAAAATGTATGTATTAAAAATTTTAAGTGCGAAAGCGAAATAAAAATTCTAATTAATATCCCTTACACAATAACCAAAACGTATTAAACGTATAAAAGAATAAACTAACTGAAGTAAACACTAGTAATGAATGCTATAAATAAATCTATCAAATCCTTAGTCATCTACTCGCCGTCTTCCTGCGGGACGGGCTCGGGAACCAAGTCCTCCTAATCTGAAATGGTTAAGTAAGGAATGAGCTACACTAGCCCAGTAAAGACATCACACTATCTCACTGCCACAGGAGTAAATGTTGGTAGAAAATAAAAACGACTAATGGAGCATAATTTATAGCAAACTTATTTATCAATAATAAAAACTTTTACTGTCCACTTACCTTAGTGAGATTCATGAAAGACAACTTATAAAACACAATAACATCATAAAATCATGCACACTTTATAACACAACACATATCAAACTCTCGTTTTTCAATCATCAGACAACAATTTTCCTCTTTTATCAGCCTACTAGTATCCATGGGGATCCATAGGAGGTCTCCGCTACACGTGAACCATTCACATTAATAACTTGATTCCAGGGCCGTCCCTATACCCCGTCCAGTATGCCCGCGCTAAAACACATAAGGTCTCCATACCCCATCCGATATGAGAGATCACATTCCCGGTAGGGTTCCCTACGGACCCGATCTGTCCACCATCTCCCAGGATATTTGGTTAGGCTGTCGATATTATCCATTTATCAATTCAGATACCTTTTTCTATTTTTCTTAATCTCAATTATCCAATCAAATATAACTACGTAAACCGGTAATGAACACCAAACAAGACAACAACGGGTTCACAATAATTCAAACCATAATAAACGAAACCGTGATTCATGCATATGAAACCATAGAATAAATACATTAAATACCATACTATATTTAAAACTGTAAAATAGATCAAACAACAACTGATCGAAAAATACATCAGATTCGGGCTCCATTAGCAACCTTAATTAATTATACATAATTCATTAAATACCGTTTATTCATTTATTGAGCTTTAATGCCGTGATAGGAAATAGGGTGAGAAATCCTTACTTGTTTTGGAATCTGAAATCGGGTTCTCACTGCGCCTACGGACAGTCTCTAGATTCCCTGAATTTTTCCCCAAAAACTGAAATACACTTCCGGTACCTGCACATATCCCTAAAAAATACCAAATCAGACCCATGGCCCTTTCGGCCAATATCGAAATTCTGGTGACGGCGCCGCCGCCCACGGTGGTTATCCGCCTCGGGTTGGCCGTTTCTGGCCATTTTTGGCCAAACTCGCATCGATTCCTATGATAAAACACCCCTAAGGCCCTCGGTGGGCCAAAAAATCACGAAAAACCGAGACTTACCGGCGGCGGAGCTCTCGGGTGCGGCGGCTTCTCCAGCGCGAGTCGTGATTTGATGTTTTGCTCCGGTCAACCTGTAGAGAAAAGGACGGTGATCACAGTGGTGTAAAAATTACATCAAACGGGAATTGGGATTGGTCTCATCGGAGGCAACAACCGAGGGAAGCTGCAGCAGTGCTGCTGGACTTGGGCAGTGTTTTCCGGTCGATTGGCTGGTGGTTTGGCTCCGATTTGGCCACAGGTGGATTTAGCATCGAAAAACGAGCCCAGGAGAGAAATTTTACCTCATTTGGTGGTCGAAAAATCCTCCGGTGCGGGTGGCGGCGGCCGGCTCTTCCGGTGATTGGGTCGTCTTCTCCGGCGAGGGTATTGGCGGCTAGGGTTTGGGGTTAGGTGTAGGTGAGGTTATTTATAACATTTTCCTTTTAATCTCAGCTGTCCATCACGATTTAATCTGAACCGTCCGATCGCGATTAAAATAGGAATAAATCTGGGCTGTCCATCGAAGTGCGATCTGGGCCGTCCTCATGCGTGAGATCTGGGTCGTCCGTGTGCGCTTTTGATTTGGGTCGTCCGTGCGCGCGAGAACGGTCTGGGTCGTCCGATCGCGCGCACACGGATTGCTCACGTGGCCCCGTCCCGCGTGGCTTCTCGCGTCAGCATTCCTGCCACGCGGCATGTCCTGGTTGGCTGGGGCTGCTGACCGGGCTGTTGACGTGGCTGCTGACATGACACATATTTTTTAAATTGCGTTTTGACCCTCCAGTTTTCGATTTTTTTTTCTAAAACACCTCCAAAATCTAAATTTTCACCCATTTTTCCCAAAATCATTTTCAATTAATTCTCAAAAATAATTTTACCCATTTTTATGATTATTATTATTTTTATCTCCATTAAATAAAATTAAATTAAATTACAACCTTATAAATTAATAAATAAATCAAATCAAATCAAATCAAATTCTAATAAAAATAAAAATAAAATAAAAGTTTTTGGGTTGTTACAACAACCTTGTGATTCGAAAACCATAATCGTCTTTTATAGTGACAAATTTTTACAATTTCTATTTTATCAATCATAGAATAAAAATATTACAAAACTAGTATCTACACATTATAAGTCCATACTTAAACCTGATGTATTAAAATTTAATACTGTTCAATCATATTTGATTACTTTTAAACGAGTCTATTAAATTAATAGTTTAATACGCATATTAAGACTCACATTAAATTCATATGTCAGAAAAAATACTACAATTTTCACCATGCGGGTTTTTGGTTAAAAACTAACTCGTACCTAACCCACGAGTTTTTCATTTAGTATAATCTCTGTTTGATTCTATTTTTCTCTTTTATTATTTTCTCT